GTCTCCAAAACAGCAACTGTGTTATTTCTTTGTGTAAAATGGGGGCACAGTGCATACGTCTTGGCAGAACTAGTCCATGCAAAATGATGTTTTGTCTGTGACAGGAATTCTTTTTTTAATACACCACTGATCGAATTACCATTATCGGTGAATTGAAATAAATGGTCCTCGATTGAATTAAAGATCACAACACCGCCGCCTCGTATAGACTAGTAATCCGCTTAATGCATTTTTGCACGCAACATTCCAATTCCGAACAATTCGGAACAATTCCGAACATCCCGAACTACAAAAATGCACGCATATTCTGAAAAGTGGTCGTTTACCCCGATCCCGAACTTAGTTTTACAACCTTTTTTTTTTTTTAGAAATCATCATCTCTCTCCGTTAGTTAGTATCAAGTGTTGTTAGTTAGTAACAAACGTTGACATTGTCTATTGCTCCTACATCATTTTGATCGAATTCAACCAAACTTTGTCAAAAGTATCAATAGCCCAGCCCCAACATGTCACATGACCAGAACTGGGGTCAAAGGTCATCATGGGTTCAAAAACCTGATTTTTTTTTTTAAACTCAAAACACTACTTCCAGAAGTAACATGGCACAATCACGTGACTCATGATGCATGAACACGAATACTTTAGCCCGCAGCTTCCGAGATCCGATTGAGCTTGTTACGAGACATAAAAATGCACATTTTGACATGAAGCATAGAGCTCTCAATGTAAAGTTTGGCATCTTTTACAAACTTGTCCATGACCATGCACCTCAGTCGTGTGATTTCAAGAAGCCTATAGCCGTATACGTAAAATAACGTTTGGGTTTTATTGGATTTTCTTTTTAACCACAATCTGCCCTTAAAAGCACCTTTAATTTTTAATTGAAAGTGCAGTAGATTTGTAAGCCTATAATAATTTGTCAAGGGCTATGAGTTCTTGTGTAATCTGTCTAAGCGAATGTTTTGAATTCCGGAGGGGGTGTGCAGGGGTCCCTCCCAAATCCAAAGACATTATTTTGCCGGTCCAATTTGTAACCGGAGGGTAAGGCTTTACCCATCCTTCTTATCCAAACACCCCGCCGGAAAAATACCGTCAGCTGGCAAAGTGTTCGATGATTGCTATATGAGTAAACGGCTGTTTAATGTTTGAAGTGGGATTTTTCATTTCTGTCGTATTTTATCATGATGGATTTTTTTGTATCTTTCCATTGTTGCCTGTCCTTCTCCCCTTACTTATTGCGAGGAGAAGTGAATTTACATAGACACATTATCATATAGAAGACCTCAGAACAATGTCAGCAAATATTACAAAACATTTCCGTCTTTGTCCAATATTTTCTCGATTTCTAAAAAACTCTACATTCAGTATATATATATTGAGTGCAGCAACAATGTTGGTAAAGGCTCAAACGTTAAAACTCGAAAATAATTACCCCGTCCGCATACTCTATACGGCGCTATATATGCGCTTTAAATATACCAATGAGATTTACTACAATGCGCATGCGTACCTTCAAAGCTAAGTGAGAAGAGCTGGTTCCCACTTCCCAGTAGGCCTATGTACCTACAAAACAGAAGAGAAACATGCACTTGTTTGAGTGCATGACTTCCTTCGTACCAGTCATCTTTTGCATTGCGTTTTGAGAAGGGTCTTTGTGTACGGAGCAAAAAATGTGCCGCTCTCGGTGTCGTACGAAGTGTGGTTCCTAGTCAAAGTACTTAATTCTTTGATTAAGTTCGGGCGGTCATCGGATAAACCCATGTTTATCGCTAATTTGTATCTCCATCCCTTGGGCTGTATTATGAACTTATTTTGCTGTCTATTATTATACTATAAATTACAGTTTTCTGCCTGAAGTTGTTTTATGACCAAGGAACATAAAGTCGAGAGCAGGGAGTTTTCAAATTGCTTGTCACTCCGGGGATGCAGCGCTCTCTTCGAAACTTGGTCATGCCACTCAAAATAGTCATTTGCATTTACTCCCAAATTAACATACCGGATTATCAAGAATACTTGGATCAAAGATGGTACTGGTACTAAACAGGGTGACACTACTCCGTCTGGCTTGCTGTGGAACATATTGTTTTCTATTTATAACTTATATGGGTTGATTGGACTGGTATTGGGTTTTTAAAGGATGGTTGTGTGGAGGTTTATATCCTACTTTGAAAGGCTCGTTCCAGTTAACATCATTTCGTTTAAAACGCGTTTTGTTGCCCAACTTGGCGCATTCCGGGACGTAATTCCCTTTAATCTATCTGTATGGATAATAACGGACACCATAAACGATTCTGCCACTTGTTGCTAAACTTTAACGCAAACACAAGTGGTTTTGACGCGGCGCGATGGCCCTTGAACCATGTACCAATCGGCCGAACACAGCGGGTTAGCGATCTATTTCTACTGGGCTACACTCAGCCTGGGCCTAGCTCTCTGCAAGCCGTCATCATAATATCCCTCTTGTACAATTTCACTGGTCCGTTAATTCGGTGCTGTGGGCACATCACGTTGATACTGCATCGAGGTGGAAACACCGCGGCCGTTGATTCCAGCCGCAGGCCTGTAGGCCTGTAGTTTCTGTTTCTGCACGCACGTATGTAAAGTCCCGTCTATATAGAGTTTAGGGAAATATCGCCCGACGAAATGGACTGGAATGAAGTGTTTCATCTCATGGAAATTACGCTTTATTTGCCGCGTAATTTAATTTACGATCTTTGGGGTGATTTCTGACCCTGAAGAGCTTTGAAAGCACGCATAATGCACATTCTTTTTTCATTTTGAAAAGAAAGTCACGTCGCTATTGAGGGATTTGTTAGCGTTTCAAAATCCATTACAACTATAGTAAAAAAAATAATAAATAAGTGTACTGTTGAGTATAAATAAATGTTATAAAGCAGCGTACTTAAATAGCAATTCACCCATTTAAACGCTACATAAAAACTGCTCTGTAAAAACTGCGATTCTGTGCATGATATCCAGTCAGTATAGGCCTATAGTGGTCAGTGGTCTATAACGTGGTAAAGATTTACTGTAGCACCATAATAAAAAAGGGGGGGGGGAACTCAGGCTCTTTTACGATCTTTGATCATTATACAAATTGCAAAAACACACATGCGTAACGCCATTGCCAGCGCAGCGGTATGATAAAAGATCAAGGAATAAAAAAATAAGGGGAAAAGCAATTTAGATGGGTTTGAACAGACGCCACAAAAAATCATTCAAGTACCACTGATTTCAAGGCCAGTCGCGACGACTGCACACGCGCCCACACCGAGTCGTCCATTCGCATGTTTTAAGACGTCGTGGTCAATCCACTTTTACGATGTAGTCACAATTGACGTGCGGGTTGTCTCAACAGAAAGGCTGCTTGATTTTTTATATGAATTGTCATTTAGCGGGTAATTCTGCCCAGAAAAATAGCCATAAAACAAGGACATTCAAGCAGCTATGTGCTTCCTGGGTACCACTCCAGGAGACTGTAACTATGGAAGTGATGACGTCATGATGAGACGAACGTCACCTCTATCAGTGTGACAGTTCCTTGTCATGGAGTCCATTGCTTTCGTGTCAAGATTCTCATCAATTCATTGTTTGTATCAATTGAGAATAGTGAACATTTTCTTAAATATTCCGAAGAGGAGAGTTTGGATGAGCCTTTGGCTTTGTTGGGATACGTCAAGTGAAGAGAGTAGCCTACACCGTTGCGAATAGTGTTCAGTGAAAACCAGCCACTTTGAAACCAGTCACCTCTTAAAAAAAGTGGGCGGCGAATCCAATTATTAGTTCATGGCCACACGATGCACTTTTTTGGCAGGGTGTGATGTCTTTTCAATATGACAGAATGTAACCTATTATTAACCTATACACATTTACAGACTACATGATCACATTTTCTCCAAAAAAATAACGTTACGTACAGTGGCCACATCGGATTCCAAAAAACGGCTTACGGGGGGTCTGGTTCCAGACCCTTCTCCCGAGAAATCATGTGAAGGTTCTTTCTCTAAACTTCTAAAGTCTATCAGAAACAGCACTCATATAGCAAGCCAGCACTGGATAGATAGCAACATGCCTTTGGCAGAAGTTGCGATGGTTGCCCCGCGTCTCCCCCTTATATGTTGGTATACCCATGGAGCTATAGCTCCATGGGTATACCCAGTAACGGCCCACTGCAGCCTGGACTAAAGGCCGAACCATACACTGGAATTACCCTTGAACAGAATCTTCAGAAACGCAATGGACGATGGTATAGAGCTTAATATTGTCCCTTCCATCGTTGATGAGCTGTATTGTACATAATATCATAGTTTGACCGTGAAGACGATCATGCGCCCAAGGAAATGAGCTACCCACAACTTGCTTTGCAACGATTGCGTTTCCTTCACGAAGAGATAGCCAGTATTACAAAATATTGTGATAAACGGACACTGGCTCCAGTTGATAGGGCGATGTATACGGTATAGACCAATATTCGGCGACAACCATTTTCTGAGGTAGTACCGGGCTCGCGCGAGTCGCGCTCAGGTACGGTGCCCCTGAAAATGGCCTGTAATTTGTTCGCCAAATTAGTACATTCGAGAAAAATCGGCGCGCGATTCTGACCTTTCCTAGAATATGCACAATTTATCTCTTGAGGGCGCGTTAAAAATATTGCGTGTATATAGCTGGAAAGCAAGTTCGGGCAAGGACCATTAGTCGACTTGTAGTTGATTTGTGACGTATAACTTGCGCCTGCGCACTAATTAGATCGTGTGAACGCCTCAAGTCAAACGCTGGTCAAACTATCGTCACAAAACTTCTGGGTCCTGGCTCCCTGCTGTACGTTATGAATGCGCGCGGCTATTGGTAACCAGCGATGCAAGTTGCAACCAACCTCGCAGTCCGGTTTCAAATAGTCGACTAGAGTAGTTCAACCGTCCTGCGTTCGAGTGAAGTCAGTCGAACTGTGGTTAGCCATAGTCCTTGCCCGAACTTGCTTCTACAAGTTTGATATAAACCCACCTCGAAGAAGTGGTGAGGCACAGTCCGGAGGCTGTGTGAGTAGCCCGTGTTCGTGAGGAGCTCAATGAAGATATCAGGCGTGTCTAGGTTCTCGACCAGGGAGCAAAAGGCGGACACCACCCGGTAGCCGTGGGCGCGCATCTTGGAGCTCTTCTTGAGGACCTCCAAGTCCGTCATGTCTTTGAGCTGGGCAAAGTGCTGCTGAGCGGCTGGGTGCCTTTCGAAAAACCTGTCAGTTGAAAAAAAAAAAATCAGCAGGCCCGTTACGTTACCTGAAACTTGGGGGAGGGGGTCACACCCAAAATTCAACGGGTCATCTCAGCGTGCTCTATGATAATTATATACATACACAAAGGGCGTCGTATTACATTTTGTTGTACATAGTACGAGTATAGACTTTCCGGAGTTGGGTACCGACAAGGGTTTTTTTTCTATTTCATTATCATTGTTTGTATCTCATTATCTTGAAGTTTATTTTATTTTAGTCTGGTCTTTTCTAAATTAGCAGTATGGCCAAAAGAAATTTTGGTAAGCAATCTTATATAGGGCATGACCGTGCTTAAAGCAAAGACAATTGTGCAGGGCTCGGATGTCACATGACAAAAATGAGTCTCTTCACTTTCCCTTTAGGCCTACTCCTCATTAATAAAATCTCAGGAAAATTTAAGTTAAAGTCGGTGAAATCATAGAAGGTCCTCTGTGCCCTGACGACATTTCGACTTGAAACCAGTGTTCAAGTCAATCTATTCTTTCGCATAAATTCGAGGGCCAACATCGTTCTCAAAGCAACAGTCTTTCCCTGATCGATACATCAGGCCCTTGAATATTTGTGATTTTACATTTCAGATCAATCCGCAGGAGCACTTTATCAGAGATGCTCTTTCTCAAGCATCCTGTGCTTAAGTAAATCCAATTCTTTCTCGTGTCTCGACTCGCAGTCTCGAAAGCTCCAAGAAATTTGAAATATTTTGTCCTTCGTATAAACTTAATGAAATTCCGACTCCCACAAGTGTCCCTAGATGATCTATTTCCCGACCACAGATCATTCCAGCCCCTGATTTCTCCCCGAGGACACCATAATAAAAGGACGGTTATGTTGAGTTGGAGAAAATATCGTACAATGAACGAGATTGAAAATGGGCGGGCAAAGGAAGAAGGAACCAAAATGAACATACGATGTGGAGAATCTATTTTCAAGACAGACTTGGATTCGTGATGATTTTTCAGGATGTGTGTGTGATGCCTTTGCCACTTGCCGTCAAGAATAGCCCTGTTGATCAGGCTGCTCCACCATCAACTCTAAATTGGCAATTATTTTCAACAGAAATGTTTGCGTTCCCACAGGGGGTACAGGAAGGCATGTCCTTTTTTTTTTGCCTTTGCAATAAGGCCTCCTGCAGACCAGCAGTGTCCCTGAAGTAAAAAGGAAAAGTGCAACAATTCTTTTGTTGGGTAAAGTTTTTGTCCATTCTGGCTTGCTGGCTACTAGCCTCGGGGCATGTGTACAAGCCCGTAAATTGATTAGGTGGACACAAGTATGCAAAGTCAGTCGTAGTATTATATTAGCACACCGCTTGCGTACAACTGCACATCAGATGCGCGCAAAGATTTGTGTACGTTGCGGAACTGCATAGTTCAAGTTCATGCTGGTACTGGCACAAAAATTGCTAAGCACGGAAAACATATGCTGGGCAGAAAGAGGTTACCATCGAAAAATGACACTCAGTATCTATACCGTCTTTGGCAGGTTTTCAGCAGAACTATAACTCGTAATACTATACATATTGTTTGGAAACATTGAGCGCCATTTTATTTGGGCTGCCGCGCAAGCGCATAAAAGCCGTGGTTGGCTTCATATTTTCCCAATAAAAGTCCTCATAACACCCTCATGTACATAAAAAGGCATGTTTAGGAATTATTTGTAGCGTTTGTTGATAATTTTGTAAGTTTCAACAATGTAATCAATAATAACTCTTCTTCATTTTTGCAGTTGGACCTTCCACAGTTTGGCAACCCGTGGTTGGCAAAACGTGTCTGCGATAGAAATGTCTATAAGGAACATTATTCGGCTCATATTGGTCTCTTCGTATTAACACAGGGCATACGACCAAAACTGCAATACATGACATACGCCTGCAGTGCACATAAAGGGTCGATGAAAACAATTTCTGTGTTGAAGGCAGCATTAGGTTAAGGCTAGGGTTGGGCTTAGGGAAGTTAGGGTTGGGATGTTGTTTAAATGGTTCGTTTCTGTTTTAAATGGTTCTTTCATCGTAGATTGTGATAGGTTGAAATGAGTTACTAAAAAGTATACCTTTCCAAATTTGAGTTGAATGTGCTCTATGGGACACCGAAGTAGAGAGAAATCAAAAGACACTCTAGCTATTTCCTGCTGATAAATTTAGCGGGCGAACCAGCTGGGTGTCTGATTTTCTTTATTTATAGGGCAAGGACGTCGAATTAGTGTTGATTCATTGTGTAAGACATGGTCGTAACTATAATCTATCACTGACCATAGCGACTCGAATCAAGTCTTGCACATCGGAAGCTTGCCAATTTGTGTAGTGCGCCATGCCAATTTGTTTTTTAAGGTTCTAGGCAGACGACAGTTTGAAGCTTTTGATCGTCAGAAATTGACCACCGTCCGATATTCGAGTTGACGCAAAGTGGGTCGCAGGAACGCGGGGACTCCAAGACATCATGGGCCAGAATTATTGCACGCATGTGGTTTTAAAAATCGCTCGCGCTGCGCGCCACATTGTTGGCATTGACTGACAGCAATTAAGGCTCGAATTTTGATATCAGTACGAAATCGCAATTCCGGCAATTGGGCGTACGTACGTAAATGCAAGTTCCTGTTATTTATGTCTACGTGGAGCCTAAAATAACAATAGGCTATTAGTTGAACCGGAAAAAGGGGGCGGCGAGCCTATCGATCAATACGGCGGGAACCAAAAAAAAATGGCCGCATGTCAAAAGAGAGAGACTGTGTCCAAATCTGATGAGTGATGGTTGATTTGTTGTTACACACGGTGCTGTTTTAATGACGGGGCCATGTCAGTACTGCTTAGTACGATGCTTCAAGTTCAAGTTGTCAAACTAAGACTCAAGCCTGTGTAGCCTATATTTAATACGTCGACGGTGGTGTCCATCCCGGTCCGAGTTGTCACGCATTCACGTAGGGTGGCTGCACCGCTGCAGTTATTTTTGTGTGCATCTTCAGTTCAGTTACGGTGTAGCATGAATTTAGGTTTTATGAAATACGGACTCATTGGTGGTATTGCGCATGCTCATGCATAGATAATTAGGAGAGGGACCGGTTACGTGAGAGGGTTTAACCAATAAAAGGGGAAAAGAGTCCGATTTTCATATGAAAACGGTAGTGAAAAAAGCGCGTGCACTATTTATGACAACTGAACTACCCACAATGCTTTGCGATTTACGAAACTGGTGAAAGGGGTCAGCGGTAGGGGGCGCCCTTTGATAGGGCTCTGGGAGACGAGCGAGTTATATAGGCTGCATTGGGCGTAATTGAAATTGCGGAATTAAATACTCACTTTGCAAACAGTTCCACTCCGAACTTGGTCTTGATGGTGCAGACGACATCCCATGATTTCTTGATCTGGTCCTTCTGTTCTTTCGTCAGCCCTGTTGCCTCGTCTGGCACATCGTTGTCACCTGAGGGCGCCAAATATTGAATTTCAACTCATCATCGTTTTACGAAATCAGTCGTCAAATTGAAGCTACACAATAAAAGAGGGCCAGTTTCAAACTATAGCGATTCTTCTTCGAAAAATGCCTAAAATTGGCGGACATAAACGAGTGAACATAATACGGGCCGGTGTTTCGGATAAACTGTTCTCGCGGGGAACTGACAGTTTTGGATTTTAATTGACAACATTATTGTCATTTGTATATCATAAATGTTCACTTGTCACTTCGTTTGTTTGCTTTTATTTTTCCTTTTGTTTGGTAGGGGAAACAGCTGGGTTTGACCAATGTGACTGTCAAAGCCATATCTATAATCTAGTGGTGGATTTGATTTGCAAGACTGACAAAAACTAAAGTGGTTGTCAATAGTCGCGTATGCGGTCGAAATGTACATGCAGCACAATAAATTTACATACCAAGGAACTTTAATCAAGAAAAGGGACCACTTGCCGAAACATTCCACCCATGTCTTCCGTGTAACATGGTATGTCAGTAAAAATATGGCGTAGTCTATATGAAGTATCCGATGACAATATTGCATTTCAACCGCGAATCGTAAGAAGTTTAGCCGTATATTAACCTTGACTTCAAGTTGTATGTCCCTCGGCTACAGAGTTGGAACTTGCATGTAGTGCACAATGAACAACAATCACAAAGAAAACGGCAGCATTATTATGCCGCACTTAGCACGTTTTATTTATGGGATACACAAGATCCGTTGGGGCCTGCGAGTCGACAGGATCTTGGTTGCACTGGGCAAAATGGTCGCGACACCGAACATAAAAACCCGAATGTCAGCTCTTGACATTTCCCTTTGGTGTCGTTAAAATTCGCAGACTAAGAAATCAAACCAGGTTTTTTTTTGTTTTACAGGATGTAATACAGATTGTTTACAATGAATTTTGTTTTCGCACGGTGTATATCAGGATTTGAACAGACCACAGAACCAGGATAGAACTTTTAAAACTGCAGTCAGACTTGGAAAAAATCTAACTTTATTTGGCATTCGGGACCTATTGGGTGCAGCAACAAAAACTGTCAAAGTATTAGTTTGAAGTCGAATAATTGACCGAAAAGTCTGCGGTGAATAGAACGGGTATCTAGTCCGAGATAAAAAAAAGATTGGTGTGATGTTCTCTGTGGCATCTTCTCACTTCGTAGCAAGAACTAAAGAGTCAGTTGTCAGTATTAGAATAGGCCTATATATATTTATTTCAGAGTGTGAATCGTTGACTGTAGAGCCGCCATTTTGGATATAACAACAATATTGTTGCTTCAAAATGACAAAATAAACGAAGTCACAAATTTCAAATTATAATCTTTTCACGGAAAACAAGGTTTGTCCTCTTCATCTCTTGCCAAATTTGATGTAGGCCTTCAACCGGATTGAGAAACGAATCAAAAAAATCTTAGCACACGAGAAACCACCACCTTAACGATTTCACTGACCTGTGTCTGCGCAGGGTTTGTTCTAAAGATATGACTTCTTAACCCTAGCCTTCCCCATCAAAATCCATCCCCCATTTGGGGGATTTTGGCATGCAAGCATACCAAGTCCATCAAAATCCACCTATAGCAGTGGTGGTCTTTGTGGTGGATTTCGGCAGATTTGGTTCTCAGCATTATGTGAAGCAGAGTCAGTGATGGATTCTGGCGGACTTGGTACTGTACTTAGTAAAACTCAGCAGGGAGTGTTAATGAAAGAAGTACTAGCTATATCTGAAGACAAAAACTCGTGCAGTGCCTACAAAACGTTTCAGTTAGAAAGCTGTCTATCATAACTCTAATTGTACTTCTTTTTTTCTCAAATAACATAACAGGATTAGTACACAACACCACGAAATCTGATGTTAACTTATATCGTGATTTAGTATTATTATGAGATCGAGGTACCATCCAGGTCAGCGTTGGAATCTTCATTGCAATATCCTCCGGTTTAATTAAATGTATCCCGTTGCTTACCCACACCCAGGGTATACCTCACCAGGGTTTTATCCTGTGCCGGCAAATTGTCAGAAATCACGGCGCGCGCGCGAGTAGTTCGATAACTTGACTCGCACGGGGGGAAAAAAGGTGCCCGTATAGTTCCGCGTTGCGCGGCGGCGGGCAATAATATACAAGCATAATCTCTCGCAATAAAACAAGCGTTTGAGCGGGGTGGATCCCCGTGCCGATAGCCGTAGGCAACATCCGTTTTTACGGTGCGACCTATCGACTCGAAACGGAGCGATTTCTAATAATAACAGACAAGCACTGCGAGAATCGGCTGCCCTGGTTTTTCTGGGGAAAAGCTTGAACCGTTCTGGGGCTCATCGTATAGCTGGGTAAGCCTGGGTCTAGGTGTTTTTTTTTAAATTCAACTAAAGTGCAAACATATGCATGTTTGTTGAAATATTTCTAAAACGACTCACCCTGCCCCCGAAAAAAATGAAACAATCATTAATGACGCAATCGTCGCACGAAAAAAATGTTTAATGAAACGTGGTCAAAGTCTATTTAATTTGGTATAGAAGAATAAGAAGAAGAGAAACAACAACCTAAAAAAAATCAGAACAAAAACACAGGCTTTTCCGGTTGCAGTTGATATCGAGTTAAGAGATTCGATGATGTTGGCATTTGAAATTCCAAAATCTTGGCAACCATTTGGTTTTCCATGAAGTTATTTAGAGGAATTTTTACATCCTTACTGGGACATTACGTCCTGGAATGCCCCCAATTGAACTACAAAACGCGTTTTAAACGAAATTATGTTAATTGGAAAGGGCGTCTAAAAACTGGGCGTTTTGTGTTATTCTTGCGAGAACCATGCGTGAACGCATTTTGACTCTCAAAAATCGAGCTGTTGAGTGCTAGTTGTGAATCCCTGCCACAGTGCATCGCATTCTGCGGACGTACGAGAAACTACTTTGTGTATTGGTGCTGTGTGTATTATGAGTCACACACACAAGTACCGAACATTGAATGGACACGGTTTGAAATACGTATGCGAATGCCACAAAATGTCCGCCGCGTCCGATGTAAACAACTGGGTTTTCTCGTCTTTTCTATAGGTTAGTTTCCTTTCAACCAGACCTTTGAAATTGGATAATAAACAATCCAAAACATAAAAAATATCGAGGATTTAAGGCCGTAACGCCCTTTAAAGTCCAAACGTAGCTTTCGCATTAAATTTCGACTGATACCGAGAAAGACGCCTCAAAACACGGCAGTTAATATGTACCCCATGTGTATCTTGAAATTTTGCGGTTGGTCTAAATTGTTGGTTTTTCCCTGAGTGTATTGTCGCCATATACATCAATTTGTGGTTTGTGTTTCAGTTTCGGGAACTCTTCACAGCTGGTACCAAGTTAACTGCATCAATCAAATTGAGATTTGTGGTTTTGCATCCCGTAGACGTCACCAGTGTCTGGCCTTCCGTCGAAAGCCAAATTAAGCACAACACTTGACTCCAAAAACGTTCCTTATAACAAGCACGCAACATACAAACCAACTTGGTGCCTTTGCCCAATATCGTTTGGTCACTGGTGACTGCTGCACGGCTTCAAGGAACACGACCAAGATGGCGGCGTTAGGCTTAAACCGAAATAGACAGGTGGTCAGTGAACTACAATATTCCTATTGATCGATCTAAATGAGAACGCAGGTATTTAAGCAGTTACATGGTTGTGTTATTTCCAACACCATGTTGTCAATTACAACTTCACTGACAGAAAATAATGAGTTTTTGACTGAAATAGTCACACTTAACTCTGAAGCATCCTTGCGATAAACAGAAGTCCTTCGCTTCGTAGTATTCATTTACCAAAAGAGGGACATTAGAGTTAAAAGAAGAATGATATTTTCTTTACTCCAGCAAGGTGATTCGAAAATCGATAAACTTTGTTCTTGTGATTGTGCATCTCATCGGAGATATGAAATTTGTACGTGCAGTGAACGACCTCAACATTCAATCAAAGACATTTTACATAACCTTTAAAAAAAGGGAAAGCCCTTTTTCAATCACGCTCGTCTACTTTTGAAATTGGTCTGCTTCCTCTAACCATTCCTTCGCATGTGAGAACTGATGAGAAAGGGAAAAATCATCTCCCAAAGAGAAACTTGTACAAACATTACCGATACTGCATGATGGTAGAAGAAAGAGAAGGAAAAAAAAGCGCATAATACGACATTTCTGGGTGAACGGACGATTAGGGATTTGGGGCCCAATATTATGGATCCACTGCGCTCGGTTTTTTAACGATTTTCTTCGTATGCGCGGCCACTGCCTTGGTAGTGCTGGCGCATAGGTCCTGACAATTCCAGGGTTCCTCGGTTGTTATTATTATTATTACATAAATGATGACTCGAGATCGTAGACCGAGCTTTCTGGGAAATTAAAAAAGAGCGAGCTGCACCACAAACGGGAGCAAACTGTTGGGGTTCTTTTTGGAAGAAAAAAAAGGTTTCGTAATCTAACACCCAGTTCGTTTGGAAACTGTTTTGGGGCGTTGTCCCTCGAGATCAACAAAATCAAGATAAATTGCACTTGGGATTTCGTGAAATATTACCGTTGAAATCCCTGAATGCATTTCACACTGTTTTTTTTCCTGCAAAAAAAATGATGAAAAGCAATCAAAACAGTGGAAGAAGGTACAATTTGGTGTAGCAAGAGGCTAACAGAAAGACACTGATGCCGGTTTGAAATCACGAGGTACGTACCTCGCAGACAGGATACAGCTCACGAATTTTATAAAACTTCAAGTTGAAAGGTTATTGGGCTTTGCAGAAAATATGAGGTATAAGCCTACCAAACACAAAAACGTATACAATGTATAGACCATGTGCCCTGATGTCCGCCGGGCCGCGAATTGTTTTTCTCCCAAACGACATCCACATAATGGTGTACGCTATGGCGTTTCAGACTTCATTAAAGCATCTTTTGCATGCTATTTGGCCACATTAAACAACATTTTAAGCCGACATTTTAA